CACACACACACACACACACACACACACACACACATATACGATAGGCGCGTATTCGCGGAGTGGATGACAAAGAAAGGATCTCGTGGAGAAGGATTAACTAAGGCAAGTCTACCGACCTGACAATGATCGTGGAACGGTTTGTGAAAGCAGTGGCCGTCAGCGTTGCGCAGGTGTTCGTGCACCACGTGTACGTGGGTCGGCAAGTGCGAAGAGGGGAGCACTGCTCCGCTGCTCTCCGCGCCAAACAATGAATTTCGTCCGGTGCTGGTCGACCATATGGACATCAGGCTTGATCCTTGTGCTGCTCTGTCCGGAGCTGCAATGAAATCAGAATGAATAAAAAGCTTTCCCCATCGCACGATCGCACAAAACGACGGAGGTGCTATACCGTTCAAAAAATGGAATATCAAGAATAAATAAAAAAGAAAGTAGGATATAAAAAAAAATCTACATTTATTCAGATTATGAGATATATCAAGAATATATGCGAGATGTGACATTTCCATTTGAGAGATGTGACATGTCCATTTCTTCCTGATATAATAATATGATTGTTTCGTTCCTCAAGTATAGTGGCTAATAAAAAAGTATCGTTTGAATCTTATTAAACTTCAAGAGAGACAGGAGATTGTATGCATTAATTGGCAAATATGAATTTATTTTAGGAATAAATACATAATTTTCCGTTTAAATATTATTTATTACGATATTCATAATACAAAAAATTAATTTTAAATATAAAATTTATAATATAAAATTTGTTAAAAATATTTTGTTTTACAGATTTAACTTAAAAAAGACATTTAAAAAATGTTATTACATAAAATAGTAGCAACATAAATAATGTTTACGTAAAAATTAAAGTTTTACGTTTCTGCAATTATTATCATTTTGTAACAACACTTTTTAAAGATCTATTTTAGGTTCCATTTGAAGAGTAAAGTGTCTTGAGGAAGATAACTAGAGGACTAACAGACTTCCTCAAGTCTTGCAATAGTGATAAAACATGGCCTCAAAATTTTTAGATGTCTTCAATGATAGAAAGCCTCTATATGTAATAAATTAATTTAAATTGCAAATTAATTTTCTACATCTCATGTAATAGATAGTAAACCTGAACGTAAAACTGTCCATTAATTGTTTTCCTTAAAACAAATTCACAAATTTCGCCTTTAATTTGATCTCCTGTTCTTCCTTAAATGTTTGAAGTTACGCATATTGTATTAAATATTTCCTTATTGAATAAAAATATATACACACACACATATATATATATATATATATATATATATATATATATACACACACACACACACACACACATATAGGGAGCCCCGAATCAAAATACCATAGAAAATTTTCGAGAAAAATAAGTTAAATTTTCCATTTTTTGTTTTGAGCATTAGTTTTAAAATTGATCAATTAGAGATAGAGACGGATAAATGGTTGTCTGTCTATGAGTCGCACATTGAAAGCGTTAATAGTGCTTTCCATTTAGTTACACAAACATCATTCTATCTTCTTCGGAAAATAACAAAGATAGGCCAACACTTATGTCGACTTGTATCGGTTTGTGTCGTCAAATGAAAACCACCCATTGGTGCATGGCGACTCACAGGTAAACAGCCATTTAATTGTAATCTGTAATGAGCCAATTTTAAATTTTTATATCTCAAAAACTACTTGAAACAAAAAAACGACAAATATTTAAACTTATTTTTTTCGAGAACCTTCTTATTGTGGTATTTTGATTTAAAATCGAAACATCTTGTATATTATATGTGTATGTGTGTGTGTGTGTGTGTGTGTGTGTGTGTGTGTATGTGTGTGTGTATTTATTTTATTTTATATATCTATTTTATTTCATCGTTTTAATTTTAGATGGCAGAAGTAACACTCCCTCGTAGAGGAACTCGATAATTCTTCTCTTCCCTTCCCCTTTTTCTCTCTTTATTTGAGATCACATTAATCTTGATTATTTTCTCTAAAATTTAAGCGGCAATTCTTAACGACGTGAACAAGCGCTGAAAGAAGTAAAATATCATATAAGATAAGAATATATAAGAATAAAAATATCGTATCACGTAACTCAACGCTGTTAATGTGCATGCAAATATCTTCCGTTTTCGATTTCATGGAATATCAATAAACTGCAATAAAATCAAAATATATGAGATGCCGAAATATTCTACACTTTATAACGTGCCAAGGAATGTAATTAGAAAGAAGATATATCTATATATGTATATATATCCTTGATTCACTTGCTATTTTGCAATCGTTAATTTTGTCCACTATATCAGACTTCGATTTCGACACTCAAGCATTTAGTTTAAAAGATCGCACTTAAAGAAAAAGACATAATGATAGCAATTGTAAAGATGTAACAATTGTAAAAGTGACACAACTACAAGTTTTATATCTAAAACAAATATACTCTCTAAATTCTTTGGAGTGGAGCCTTACTTTAAATGATAATTGACTCAGTTTTAAAAAAAAGTGACTCAATTTTCAATATTTAGGAGTGAGATTTCAGTGTTCAAAGTGATTCACTCTAAAAGTTTTAGAGAGTATGTGTAGTTTAATAAATTATTTTATAATTACAGCAACTATAAAATATTCAATTATATGAACATTAATTTGTTTAACTATGGACATTAATTTTACATCAAACTTGTATAATATTCTCATCTTTAGTTGCTATATTTTTTTTCAAAGTGCGCATGAACAAAGTTTCAATCACAGTGCTGTCGTACAAGAATTATTTTTTAATTTATTTGTGGAGATATGAAAGAAAAAACGCAATGGATATTTATGAATGGTGCAGTATTACGAAGTAGAATAATAGGATGCGAAACACGATACACCATTTAATTTGTTTTAATAAACGTGTCAATTGAACAAATCACACGACTTGTACGCATGGTTGGCCGATTATACCGATTACAGCAATGCTGGAGCGATCGAAAATCCGCGACGTAATAGAAGCCGGTGAACGTCTCGGTGAATTAATGCGCTCGTCGCCATGTATATGCGTTCTTGTAACACAAGCGCAAGGTCGAAAAATGTGATGCACGTTCGTCGGAAAGCGGTCTGGGTCAAACCAGTGCAGCGAGCTAGTTTGAAAAGGATCGCCGATCTGAAAGTGTGATTAATTGGCAGAAGATAATCAGACCGTACCGAGAGATGCGGTCTTGGCAAAATAATACAATGTCTCTTTTAACTTACGAATTATAATTTCGAATCTAAAATGAAGAAACATGAACAAACGTTTCACACTTTAATTTTTACACGCATTCTTTTTTCTTCTCTGACACATCGTCTTATATTTTATTTTTCCCATTTTACATTTATTTCGAATTAAAAAAAAAATAATAATTAAGCTGCTCTATGTCTTCAAAGCAAAGGATAAATTATGCGAATAAAACAGAATTACAATTTCGACTTATATGAAATTGATAAATTTGAAGTATCTCTTCCTTTTTTTTGTTCTTACATATTGATCGTTCGATTAAAAATTTCATGATAATTAATAATAATTAATGAAAATTTGTATTAATAAATGATATGAAGAAATAAGGCATTCTATTAATCATAGAGCTATGCTTTTCTCATAATTCTTTTCTCATACACTTATGCTTCTCTTTTTATATTTTTTAAGATATAAGCATTTGCACGATTATTTTATTTAAGATATATATAGCAATATAGAGATAGCAATAGAAATAGATAGCGAAAAACATAAATAGATTTGATATAGTCATTGTTAGTCGATTACATTAAATCTATTTTATATATTTTCCTATCGATATTCGATCGTCTTCTATGATAGTCATAGCTGGACAATATTATAGTTTACAAACATACGCCACAAACATACGTTTTATCGCCCAGGAGGATTATAATTAAACGCTGATTCATTTAAAATGGTTTGTATATTCGCATCTCTCGTACCGGCGAAGATAATCGCCCTTATTATTCGCAATCATTCTTTGTCGCCGTTGAACGCAGTGACGTAATCGCCATAATCGGTACCTTAATATATTCATTCAATTATTGAATGATTAAGAATTATTGAAGAATTACATAAACAACAAACATAAAAATTATATAATTTGCAACAAACACATATACGTATACTTAAACAGGATACTTAAAAATTTATTTGTGAAAAATGTTCATTGAAATAAATCTTTATTTAAATACAGCGAAATAAAATTTTATTCCTAACAAATAAATAAATAATTAATGAGATACATCTCATAGAAATCTGTATTGCAAAAATCAAATTTTTCATAATCAATTAATATCGAAAAAACCGCATGTAATTACGAATATTTTAACTTTTTTTCTCAGTGTTTTATTACTTTTATTATATAAAAATTTACACTAATTATATAACTTTATTTATAATTATATGTAGTATTTGTGTTATTAATTTATATGTGTAAATTAGATTTTTCTACAATATTTTTTACAATATAAAGATACTTGGAAACTATTCAAGAAATTGTCTTTACATTTTCTTTTAAACATCCTATTATTTTACTTTGTAATTCTCAACAGTAAGAAGAATTTACAATAAGATAGGTATACTGAAAAAAATGTTGATTAAACACAACAAGAATAATTTGGTGAAAACTTCTGTTCAGTCTCACCAAAATGCCTTCTTATCTCTTTTTTTATTTAGGACATTTAGATGATCAGAACATTTTTCTCATATAGCTATATTAAGTGCGAGCGTGGCGTAGCGGCAGCACACATGATTGCTATGCCCGGGTTTGATCCCAGGCAGAACCGAAAAATTTTTCGAACACTCATAGCTCCTCTTACAGGTAAACGGCAAACCACCGGGAGTATCTTTACCGAAAGAACTTCTCTAACAAAAATCATCGTGCGGAATCGACGACTGTTTGTTAAACAGTTCTTAAGACATAGTTCAGTATATGCTGTGTTGAAGCTTACCTACACAATACTATCACTGAGCACATTAGAAGAATACATCGCAACGCAGCTTTGCTGATGTACCAAATAATGGATTACCTTCGGATGATTATATTGATATGATATTGTCAATATAATAAAAATGTGCTGTCTAAATTCTTTGGAGTGGAGTAACGTCTTACTCTAAAGATTGAAAATTAAACCAGTCTTAGAAAAAAAGAATGATTTAACTTTTTTTAAGAATGAGATTTCATTTTCAGATATTCGCTCTTATATCCTCATTTTCACCAATGTAAATTAACTTTAATCTCGGTGATTTTAATCTCGGTGAACTTTAATCACCGAGATTAAAATTAATCTACATTGATGGAAACGGGAATGAAAGTTTTAAAAAATGAGCAATTAAATCTAAAATAAAAACGCTATCGACATGTGCGATAATCCTGAAGACTCGTATTGTTTCTTTTCCTTTTTTTCTTCTTTCTTCTATTCTTCCTCCTTTTTTGGCATCGATACACTGACATCGGCACTTTGATTCATAGTCGTTGATTACGCCACTGATGTCGTATATACTAACAACAAATCGCAATATATGTAACCCTGCCGCCTAGACGGCGGCGAATTGGTCGCGGAGGACAAACATAGAAGCGGCGGCAAATTACAGTCGGGATTTCGCGGCCAGTGCAAATCTACCAGGCCGACCGAAAATGTCTTTTCATTTCCTCACGAAAAGTAAGTAAATAAAGATATTATCGCGTTGTCCACGCGGTCATCGTTGCCAATACCGTCGTTATAACGCCGTGCCAATATCACTAAAAATACAGGATCTGAGAAACGAAATCCCGCCGTTGTGGCTCGCGTACGGAATTAAATCGCGATTATATCGCGGATTATATCGCGATAATAACGCAGAGACGCAGACTAAACATCGTACAATGACATACAACTGTCGTTTCACTCACACAACACAAAGAACATCCTCATGACTATAAAATTCCTTCCGTGACGATAACGCGGAAATCGTTGTGAGGATCATACATTCATAAACATCAATGTGACAAAGTGATTCGGAACGAGCGAGAGTAGATAAGTAGATTAGTGTCCATTCAAAAATTACCATTTTCAGAACGCGGATCGGCGAACGTCGTGAAATCATAATAAATGAATAAATGAACTGAAGGCTCGACACGTTGATCTCTTTCTGGAGTCTCCTCTCGATGCCTCGCTTTTTTTCGAGGGGCTATCGCGTCATTGGTCCACGTCAGAACGTATAATAAAAACACTCCGGCACACGTTCGAAATTTAGAACGCGCGCATCAGCGAGAAGATTCACAATGACAAGTGCGAAAGAACACCGATCAGCACACTGATGAACGAGCGCAACGCAACCGCGAGTGACCGGCGCGGCGGCGAGCAACGGCGAGACAACACAATGCCGAACGTTGCCGAGGTGAGCCGAATATCATCGAGCGTTGTCGAGACAGATCCGAGGATTGCCGAACAGTCAGCCGTTCGGCGACGAGTCGAGTGCGCGCGAATAGTTTGATTATGGTATGTTCTTAATGAGCAAGAAACATTTTGGAACATTTCAACAACATTAGCAACATTGTAACAATGTTACAATGTTGCTAATGTTGTTGAAATGTTCCAAAATGTTTCTTGCTTACTGGATTGAAGCCAGTAAACTCTATGACGGATGTTCATAGCTTCTTATATTTAAGACGGTCTTAAATACAGATGTTACGAATCAAAAAAGTCTTATTAGCATCTTAAGACTTGGAGCTCCGCACAATAAAAGGAAGGGAACAGAGAACAAAGAATAAGAATTTCAACCTATCAGAAATCATGTATTGTGGAACACACAGTTTCTGATAGGTTGAGATTCTTATTCTCTGCTCTTTGTTCCCTGTTCCTTTTATTGTGCGGAGCCCCTTACTAATTAACACTTTAGACTTATTATTTAACATGGTCTAGAAGAACAGAATATGAATATTAGTTTAAAACATATTGGAGCAAGCCATCAAGGAGGTATTTCAATTCCTAAATAAGGACACAAAAGGTGGAAAGATGATTTCTGTTTTCTTTGTCAGGGATTTATTGATTAGATTTGCTAATATTATTTATTATCATAAATGGAAAAGAGTCAAAAAGATCAGTATTTGTCTTCCTTTTCTTTGTTTGGCCGTATTTCTTATAATTTATTTCAATATAAGGAAGGCTCTAGTTTATTACAGAGATCACTGGTTAAAACTGATTGGAACCGTCGAAGATTGGAGGAAACGTTCTTAAGAATATATCTAACATACAGTTTCTATCAAAAGTTTGAAGTTAAAAATGTATTAGTATTTACACATTCTATATAAGAATAAATATGAAAACTATGTATATATGAAACAATTGAATAACATATTTTTAATCAACACCTTTTTGTAATTTATTTTATTATGTATTTTTTATTATTTTTTTATTCTTACAATATTTCAATTTAAAAAATAATAAAAAATATATCAATTTTTTAGGAAAAATTCTTTAAACATTCGAAATGGTTTACGCAAAGTTTCATTGCGATTCACTGATTATTTATTATGTAAATAAATAAATAAGTAAAAATTTTCGTATTTGTTTATTTATAGACTAACCATTGCAATTGAATAATGCATTTGAATAAATCATCTTGAATTTTTCCCAAAAAATCAAAATTTTTATCATTTTTTAAGTTGAAATGTTATAATAATAAAAATAATAAATACACACAGTAAATAAACTACAAAAAGTTATTTATTTAGTTGAATAAAAATGATGTTATTCATACAACTGTTTCGTATTTATGTAGTTTTCATATTTATTTTTATAGAGAGTGTAAATATCAACATACTTTCGATAGGGACTGTATATTAGCATATCAGATATACATCCTTAAGATTTCCAACACAATGAGATATAAGATCGCACCGTAAAGTAGTTTCTTGACGCGCGAGACGACATAAAGAGAGAGACATTCATTCATGTTTCATATCTGTTAATAAACAATGTTTGGAACTAAATCATAACAATGTAACATGCTAATAAACATGTTAATAAACAATGTAAATGCCCGTAAAAAACCTAAACCTGAGTATTCATGTATTTTATAAAATTTATTAGATATGCTTTAAAGATAAATCTAGGTTATTGCTGTCTGTTAATATATATAAATTATTATCTTTGAATACATATCTACACTAGATATTCATGTATTTTATAAATTTTATCAGATATCCATTAAAATATAATAACTTAGATTCCTAGATTATAAAAGATAATCTAGATTGATTTGATACCTTTTATTGATTGATTAGATACCTTTTATAAATTTTATAAATTCTATTAAATACGCATTAAAAGAATAATTTAGATTATTATCTTTCAATATTTAATAAAATTTATAAAACACACGAATATCCTGCAATGTAAGTTCTTACAGCATTTACATTGATTTATATTGTTTAGAATTTTATATTATTATTATATAATTTGGAATGTTTGGAAACTTGTCCCTTCTATCTGAATCCAATTTTACAACAGTGGCATTATGTTATAGTAAAAAGACACATCCCAAGAAAAAAGAAAATAAGATAAATTATTATCATTGCTGTTTGACTAATCGTTTCCTGGATGATGGACCGTAGCTATACTTTTATCCACGTTTCTCACTGCTCGTTATTTTCCATTGTGTGAAATTTGTATCTTATCGCGCATTGCCTCCATTTCTGACACAATGTATTAATCTTTAGTACACGTGATGATTTTTCGATCCTTTATCATACATGATAGAATTTCTTTTATAAGAAATACAAAAATGTAATAAAAATAAAAAATTAAAGATGTAAAGTATATATGATTCTCACATATATATTTTAACATCTTTAGGAAATATTTGTAGAGTATTTATATATTAAAAAAAAAAGAAATAAGAGCATTATTATTTAGTGCTCCTAGTATTTCAAAGAAAAGAAATGCGTAAAATATAAATAACTCAATCATGTATGTGTAATCAAGGATTAATAACATATATAAAACAGCGGCGTTCGTAAATAACGCGATACTTAAAAAAAATATCGAATATATGTTATATATTGATTTTTCATGGTATATTAAAATATATTAATAATATTGGGTCGTCCGGAAAGTTCGTGCGGACTAAAATTTAAATTTTAGTATACATTTATTAAATTAAAATTTTCTGCGTTTCATTTTCCTTCAACATCGGCACGAACTTTCCGGACAACTCAATATATTAATAATTCACATATTTTAAATAATAGCAAACATAGATACAAATTACACATAGTGAACGTGAAAAAATACTGTACGTAAACTTTACATAGTTTTAAATAAGTATTCGTATTTCTGGAATGTTGGAAACGAAAATAACGAAAATAAAATGGATATTTCGCGCAATTACATTAGCATAGAAAAGAAATAATTTGCTTTTTTTATACAAATGTATTGTTCATAACAAAGATATCGTTATGATTATAAAAACACGTTATTCCTCGTAATAATGTAATATTCCTGCAAAATATCACGTCATGAGATTCATTCGATTGTGTCATGAACGCTGCACTTTGCAGCACTAAAAAAAGAAAAAAAAACAAAGAACAGATTTTTTTTCTTGTTAGACGGAATAGATAGACCATCACGAGCATTATTATCTAGGAAAATATCATATTTGTGGAATTCATTACAGTTAGAGCATGTTAGAAATGTGAACAATTCAGAAACAATGTCAGAAACAATGTAAATTCAATTCCTATACATACATCACTCGAAAATTTTATTGTATGTTTGAATAAGAAAAGAATTTTGTGAATTAATATTAATTATATAAAAATAACTACATACTTATCTCATATTTTCTATTCATCAAGAAACTTTGTTTAAAAAAGTACTGGAATATTAATTTTAATTTAATATTTTAACATGTTTTTGTCATTATTTCAAATTATTTTTATTATTATTTTATATACATATAATTTTATTTATATATATATATATATTTATATATATA